AAAATATTGTTGACATTTTAATAAAATATTGTGATAGGATGTGAAACCTTAATACCATATTTAGAATTTTCATTTTCGGGATTCATGAAATGGAATAAACTTGAAGGTACTACATAAGAGTAAAAAATAAAATCAGAAACATTTGCTATCGATTCTTGACGTCTGACATTGTTATCAAGAACCCCATGAATACTGCTAAACGTATGTATGTGACAAATTTTCCTAATATCTAGTTATTTGTATGCTTCCCCAAAGAGTTTTTTGAAATTAAAAAGAAAAAAAATTCATTGATATATAAAGATAATGTCCACTGTCAACTCATTTACTCATTTTTCACTTCAAGGTTCGGTTAAACACAAACCTAGCAGCGTTTATATATATATATGTTTAACCCCATAATATGCCAAAATATATAGTAGTTTTTCATATTGTACAAAACATTATATCATACATCAAAAGGTAAAGCCTACATGGAGTTCTTGACCCAGCTCTAAAATTAACGAATTTCTATTGATAAAACTATTGTCTTTAAACTATAGAACATTTTTCACAGTCTCAGTTAACAACTGAACAATACTTTTTAGGCAAGACTTACTAGTGACAAGCTCAACAACTCTAGGTTGACAAATTATGCAACTTACTAATAAGTGTTTAGATAACAGTCTATTTGCATTCAGATTGCAGTGCTTGAAACAGGATGTTTCCTACATTTGTCTATTACTAGTGACTTCTATTGTCAATTTAAAAACACACCGTAAATACCGGATCACTTTTTTGACAACATCATAAATCACAAATGGATGAACATTAAATCAACATCAAACACACACAAAAAGGAAATCAACGAAATCAAATATAAGAGACTAGTACAAAGATGCACAAGTGCATGAATATATAGGAAAGAGCGACAATGAATTGATCTCTGAAGCTCATGCGCAAGATAAGTGTTCAAGTAAGAATTGATGGAGGATAGTCCATCAACTCTGGTAAGAAAGTTGCTAGAGGGGATCTTACCAAACTTAAGCAAGTAATCGATCAATAGAGAAGTTAAACATTATTCCAAAATAATTCATTTATGCAATAGATACTAGTAAAACCCATACAAAATGAATATAAACTCATATCAACATGCGTCAATAACCACATAAAACTTAAACAAACTTTAGCAACAATGATGTAAGATCAAATCTCGATAACTTGAATTAGTGGTTTATTACTTTATTTCATTTGTCAAAAACTCTAATATTAAAATCTTATGTAGTTTTAAGATGACGAGCAAGCAAAATACTAATTTTAGTTACAAACATAAAAACTATGAACTAGTAACTTTTGCTTTTAAACGTTTTGCACTGATACAAACAAAAGTTGGAAACAAAATAAATTTAATGAGCGAAAACAAATCCATTGGCATACTACATTTGTTAATCAAGAAACTCAATTATTCTTTTTTCATCCCATGATATAGTTATATTGATCATTGAAAGTGTGAAAATGTAACATTATGTTTTTTTACAGGGTGGAAAAATGAGAAAGTGACACTTTTTGGAAGAGGTGGGGGAAGAAAATTTGAGAAACTAGGAATTTGTTAGAAAATATTTAATATTTTCCCCTAAATAAGTTGAAGCGAAAATATAAAAAGAAACTCAAAAAGATTCACTTCCCTTTCTCGCCCCCACCCCCCCCCCCTCCTCCCCACCCACACACCCTTTAAAAAAAATTTGAAGCGGCCTACTTGTATAATTATGAATCATGAAATCGCCACAATTTCCCTCTGCCTTCTATTTTTCACACTTCCGAGGAATAAAAAAAATATGTCGATACCCCTATTTTCTCTTACTTTATTCCCCCACTATAGTTTCTCTAACAAAAAGAGGGTAGTAGGATTTCAAATGATCGGATCGTGACACAAATATTTATGATTAGATTAAACATTATCTGGAGATAAATTCTATGAAAAACTAGAAATTTAACCTAACATGCACCTGCTTGGCCATGTCATGACGAATCTATCTTTCACGATCTTGTTTTAGAAGAATCGGAAATTCATATAATTAACAATCGCAGTAGATTAAGTTCTTTTTTTATTTTATTTTATGAAGTTCATATTTTTCGAATAAGTTAAATTTGTTTTTGCATGCCTGGGTAGAAATTAAAAATAACAAATATGAGATTACCTCCTCTTTATGTGAAGAGAGAGACTTCTTTCCCCAAATTTACATATTATGATTCTAGTATTCTACAATTATCACCAACTCAATGATGAGACATATGATTGCACTCCACTCCTAGACTCGAATAATTTATGATATTTTAAACATTGATTTCACTTTCATATGATGGATAACTTGGTTGTGAATATATTTGTATTATGCTCTCAACTCTTTGAAATCCCTTTACATTTCCACCTCTCACATCGTCAACAATCAATAAAACTAGGGGTGCGATGAAAAATGATGACTATTTGAGTTTCGAGGCTCACAAATGTAATGTGCACCTATATTATTGTCAGGGGCGGACCCAGGGGGTTTTAGGGTGTCCCCGGACACCCCTAAAATTCGGGAAAATGATTATCCAACCTCGGTGGTAATTTACGTATAACCAAAAAAAATATAATTGATAGTGAGGGACACCCCTGTAATTTGAAAAAATGATTATCCTACTGTCATTTGTGTATAAAAATATAAATGGTAGGTTGGGTAATTCAAATCTAGAACACTATTATTATTAATAAACTTAATTTCCGTTGAGCTACAACTCATTTGTTGTTCGATTTTGAACAATGTATAATAGTAAAAAGTCATTCCATATATCTAATTATTTCAATCTAAACTAATTTAAATCTACCCTTAATTTGTATTGATTTTATGATTGTACGGCAAGTGTTGAAGAGTCTTTCAGCTTTGGGTTACATCAAGAACAAGTTTACAAATCGAATATGCGATAAGTTCCTGAATGATTGTCTAGTAGGGTATATGGAGAATTATTTTTTTAACACTATAAACACCAAGTGTATTCTACAATTATTTTCGAATATGAAAACACATCATGGACTTTTTTAACATGTACGAGTAAGGTATTTTCATATTTACGTTTTTATTTTTATTAATTATTTTTATTTAATTTATTTTTTAAAAGAGGACACCCCTATGGAAAATTCCTGGGTCCGCCACTGATTATTGTTACAATGTTATTTTTATATCTTCCATGATTTTCTTGCTTCAAATAATTCAAATAACTTGATTGTTATTGTCTTATTATATACACTGCTTTATTCTCTTCATATTACCATATTTTTGCATAAGGATAATCTTTAGTGAAATTTACTGACATGAGGCTTTTGTCATTACTGCCCCGTCTAATTTACTCGCAATTATCAAAGTCTATCTAATCATCTTCATGACCAACCAACACTAATACTTAATTAAATGGTTCAAGTAGATTTTGTTCGAGACACATTTGACATTGAATTTATGGTTATGTTGTTTACATAAGTTGGGGAAATATGAAATTTAAGTTGAAGGCTATCATATATTTTCTTGCATTTTCAAACTCTTGCATGCAATTTACTAAATAACTTATATTTGCCTTCTATTGTAAACATTTTTGCAGTTTACCACAAATGTTACTTGATCTGCCCCTTCGGAAACATCCGATAAACTCTTACTGGACGTAATCTCTTGACTGAAGCACACATTTCTCTTTTGTCAAAATTGTACACTGTAATTTAGGGATTTGTCATCTGGTTATCGATGGGGAAATTGGTGGCTTGATATCTTCTCTCCTTATTGTACCTTCGAGGTTATCAATGGAAAATTTTGTTGATTTTTATTTGGAGTATTTATAAAAAATTAGAACTAGTGATGACGGATTGGCAGTGATGAATTTGTGGTTATGTTATAGGAATTGGTGGCAGTGGTGAATTTTTTTTATTTAATTGTTATAATTATGCGGGTTAGTTTTGTAATTTCATATAATTTACACTTTTTTGGATGATAAATGCAATGGAAGGATAGGTTTGAGTAGAGTTGAAGTTTGGTACCGGTATTTGGGATATACCGAATACCGTACCAAAATTTGTCTATATTTGGTATTATCGAATATACGTATTATTTTGTGGGATTGGGATTGAGATTGAATTTCAATTGTTATTCGGTATTAGGGATTACGGGATTGGAATGAGTATATACCGAAATACCGATCAATACCGAAATATAAGCTAGTGTGTATTTTATCCTCTCAACTAGACTCTCTCAATCACTACTACGCGGCCCTCAACCACCAAAAGTGTCATTTAATTATACAAAGATCATTACATCACTATTTCACACTAGTATTAGTCGTCTCTCAACCTCAAATTCGTAAAATTAAAGATTACAAATTACATGAAGGTTTTGAGATGTTAGCTCTAGACAACTCAAGACTATTTGCTTAGTCTCTTTGCCCTAAATTAAAATATAAAATCTAGTTTATATATTTAATTATTAATTGTAAAGGTTATTAATTATGTATTCGATAATACCGATTGGGATACCGAGGTACCGATTGGGATACCGAAATTATTTAGGGATTGAGATTGAGATTCCGAAATTATTAAGGTATTGAGATTGAAATTGATTTTAGTGTGTAATTCGGTATTCGGAATTTCGATATTTGATATTGGAATATTCTTTGAGAACATAGAAGAGAGGCGGCTTTGGGAAAAACAAGGACAGATTTTGATATTAACCCGAATTTTATTGGGAAAAAAAGAACAAATTTGTTGTTGTTTAGTTGACTTAAATCCTTGGCTCTCACTCTAATGATTTGAATTAATATCTTAGCAATGGTGGATTTTTTTTTATAGAAAATTACTAAAATACTGATCTGGCTATCAGAAATTTACCGGAGCTAAATTGATGGAAAAGATTTGGGAGATTTGTTACGTATCAAACCGCAAGCAAGAGCCACGTGGCTGCTTCCCCACTTCATCACCCTCTCACACCTGTTAGCAGCCAAAAATCCGAAGCTTCAGAGAGAGAGTGAGAGACTCTTCACGAACCCTCCACACTACTCCGTCGTCCCTCGCTCAGAATCACGCCCCTAACGAATGAACCCTTTCCCCCATTAGCACGCAATTGGTTCCCATTCTTCATCTCATTCGCGAATTTCGCATTCTTTTCTATCAAAGTACAATGGCGGCCGCGGGTACCGCGTCTTTCGCCGGGGTCAGTTTGTGCCGCCGTCCGATGACTTCTCTCCGTATCCACTCCGCTTCCTCCACTCCCAACTCCCTCCGCTTTCGCCCTACAATTCGTACTTCCTTCAACCCTCCTTCCCGTCTCAAGACAACCGGCGGCTTTGCCCACAGGATTCCACCCGCAAAGTCCTTCGTTGTTCGATGTGATGCTTCCAGCAGCGGAAGGGTGAGTGGAATTCGCATAGTCCTTCAATTAATCGTTTCGTGCTTTTTCTAAAGATTGGATTTTTCCGGCCCAATTTCGCAGATTACTCAGCAGGAGTTCACTGATATGGCGTGGCAAGCGATTGTGTCGTGCCCCGACGTCGCCAAAGAGAACAAGCATCAAATTGTTGAGACCGAGCATTTGATGAAATCACTCCTCGAGCAGAAGAATGGTCTTGCTCGCAGGATCTTCTCCAAGGTCGGCGTTGACAACACTCGCCTCCTCGAAGCCACTGATAAGTTCATCCAACGCCAGCCCAAGGTATGTACTTTTTACACTCTACTCTGCGTAGCTGAATTGCTTAGTTGCTCAATTACCCCAGCTCCAATTTAAAACTAGGGTGTAGCTAGTTTGCATTACTTGATTCTCTTCTATGTGTGGCAATGCCATTCCAGGTTCTTGGTGAGTCGGCTGGTTCAATGTTGGGTCGTGATTTGGAAGGATTGATTCAGCGGGCAAGGGAATACAAGAAAGAGTATGGGGATTCTTTTATCTCGGTTGAGCATTTGGTTCTTGCTTTTGCTCAGGACCAAAGATTTGGCCGACAATTGTTTAAGGATTTTCAAATCTCTCTTGCCCCTTTGAAATCTGCAGTAGAGTCTATCAGGGGACGCCAGTCTGTAATTGATCAAGGTAAAATCTTCTATAGCATTTTTATGCCTGATCGGCTCAGAAATGTTTGAACTTACGGCATGTAGTCTCATGCTATAGAAGATGGGGATGCATAGCTCTGGAACTCTTGAATTGCTGCTATGTGACTCTCAGAAGTCAGTCTCATTTGATTGCATTTGTGCAGATCCCGAAGGGAAGTATGAAGCACTGGACAAATATGGGAAAGACTTGACTGCCATGGCAAGAGCAGGGAAATTGGACCCTGTTATTGGAAGGGATGATGAGATACGTAGGTGTATTCAAATTCTTTCTAGGAGGACTAAGAACAACCCTGTGTTGATTGGTGAACCTGGTGTGGGCAAAACTGCAATTTCTGAAGGGTAAGCATTAAATTTTCTCATTCATAGAAGGCAACTTGATGATGATTCTTATTTGCAAATTGTGTTCCAAGATTTTTTCATGAAAGTTCTGAATTTAGATTGACTCAACTTGTTTGGCTATTCACTGTAAGCATTCTCTTTTATGTAGTCCTTAGAAGCCGCTTTGAGTGACTGCAACCTCTTCTAACTCTTCTTTTAAAGAAAGGGGAAAAGAAGCATCTTCTCACTCTTTATTTGCTTGTTGGGCAGGCTTGCACAGAGGATTGTCCAAGGGGATGTACCACAAGCTTTAATGAACCGCAAGGTGTGTTCTTGATATAAGATATTAGTACCATTTCGTGAGATATTTTGGAACAATTAGATAGGGAAGCTATTTTCTTTAGTGTCAGTAGGAATTACTATTTCATAGTTCTGATACCCGGCGGTGACATTCTGGTTTGATCTCGAACTGCAGCTGATATCCCTTGACATGGGTGCACTAATTGCTGGAGCTAAATACAGAGGAGAATTTGAGGATAGATTAAAAGCCGTACTGAAGGAAGTTACAGATTCGGATGGCCAGATTGTCCTTTTCATTGATGAGATACACACTGTGGTTGGTGCAGGTAACGGCTTTGCTAATCTTCTTTTTGTATATATATATATATTTTATTATCTTTAATGATTTCCTCACCTGAGTGATTAGTTTTCTCCAATGTGCTAGTTGCTTATAGTTGATATTCTAAAAGGCATGTATAATCATCTAGTCTCGTGAGTAATGCTAATTTGGGTGGAAACTGAGACATGCTGACATCTCTTTTAGGGGCTACAAATGGTGCGATGGATGCGGGAAATCTTTTGAAGCCAATGCTTGGACGTGGGGAGTTGCGCTGTATTGGTGCTACAACTTTGGACGAGTATCGTAAGTATATTGAGAAGGATCCTGCTCTGGAGCGACGTTTTCAGCAAGTTTATGTCGACCAACCAACAGTGGAGAACACAATTTCGATCTTGAGAGGATTGCGTGAAAGGTATGAACTACATCATGGAGTTCGTATCTCCGATGGTGCACTAGTGGAAGCTGCAATCCTTTCTGACCGCTATATCAGTGGGAGGTTCTTGCCTGACAAAGGTAAATTATTAGACACGATATGAATTTATATCCTTTGTTGCTGATAACTTATATGGTTTTGAGGTGCTTTCAGTCGTAGATTTTCTGTGGTTGATGTGTTCATTATTCATGTTGAATTACAGCCATTGATCTAGTTGACGAAGCAGCTGCAAAACTGAAGATGGAAATTACTTCAAAACCCACCGCTCTCGATGAAATCAACCGGACAGTGTTGAAACTGGAAATGGAGAGGCTGTCTCTCACTAACGATACAGATAAAGCGTCAAAAGATAGGTTGAGTCGCCTCGAGGGTGAATTGTCGCTGTTGAAGAAGAAACAAGCTGAGCTAACTGAGCAATGGGAGCATGAGAAATCAGTCATGACTCGTATGCAGTCAATTAAGGAAGAGGTAATCAGAACTCTTATTTGAATCTACCCTTCTCCTTCATCGCTAGTTTAATATGAAACCACTTACGAGGCACATCTATGTTATACAGATAGACAGGGTGAACTTGGAAATTCAACAAGCTGAACGAGAATATGACCTCAATCGTGCTGCTGAACTCAAGTATGGGAGCTTGAACTCCTTGCAACGCCAACTTGAAACTGCGGAAGTAGAGTTGGATGAGTACATGAAATCAGGGAAGTCCATGTTAAGAGAAGAAGTAACAGGGGACGACATTGCTGAAATAGTGAGCAGGTGGACCGGCATTCCTGTCTTGAAGCTCAAGCAATCTGAGAGAGAAAAACTCCTCCATTTAGAGGAAGAATTACACAAACGGGTAATTGGTCAGGATCCTGCTGTCACTGCCGTAGCTGAGGCGATTCAGCGGTCTCGTGCTGGGCTCTCAGATCCCCGTAGGCCCATTGCTAGTTTCATGTTTATGGGACCCACCGGTGTTGGGAAGACGGAACTAGCCAAAGCTCTTGCATCATACTTGTTCAACACAGAGGAATCGTTAGTACGAATCGACATGAGTGAGTACATGGAGAAGCATGCAGTCTCACGACTGATAGGTGCTCCACCTGGCTATGTAGGGTATGAGGAAGGTGGCCAGTTGACGGAGATAGTTCGCAGGAGGCCTTATGCGGTTATTTTGTTCGATGAGATAGAGAAGGCTCATGCTGATGTGTTCAATGTCTTCCTTCAGATTTTAGATGACGGGAGGGTGACTGATTCACAAGGTCGGACAGTTAGTTTCACCAACACAGTTATTATAATGACCTCGAATGTGGGCTCGCAGTATATTCTCGATACAGATGATGAGCTACCGAAGGAGGTTGCATACGAGACTATCAAGCGGAGGGTTATGGACGCTGCAAGATCAGTGTTTCGGCCTGAGTTCATGAACAGGGTTGATGAGTACATAGTTTTCCAGCCTTTGGATCGCGACCAGATAAACAAGATTGTCAGATTACAGGTGAGTTCGGTCTGATGTTTGGGCGTGTGTGCTTCAGCTTTTTCTCCTAACAAATCATTTGAATCTTTCTTTCCTGTAGATTATCGTTTCTTGCTAACCTCTTGGAGGTGCATGTTTTGCAGTTGGCACGCGTGCAGCAGAGAATTGCAGATAGGAAGATGAAACTACAGGTGACAGAAGCAGCAGTGGAGCTTCTGGGTAGCCTTGGATATGACCCAAGCTATGGTGCTAGGCCAGTGAAGCGAGTTATCCAGCAGAATGTCGAGAACGAAGTGGCCAAGGGTATCCTGAGGGGAGAGTTCAAAGATGAAGATACCATCGTAATTGACACAGATGTGACGCCATTTTCTAATGGCCAGCTTCCTCAGCATAAGCTGGTGTTGAGTCGGCTCGAGGGTGACAGGGACGGAGCAGCAAGCGGCAGGGAGGCCGCATCACCTGCTGCGGCATGAATAAATGAATGAAGGTCTCTATTTATAGGCTAGAGGAGCACTGTGGTTCTGTGTATTCGTACCTAAATGGGAACTACATGAGCTCAGGATAAAAAGTCTAGCAAGTAGCATGCCTTACACGAGTGGAATGTTATGCTTCGTAAAAAAATTGCCATCGGAACCATATTAGCAGATAAATTTTGGGGTCTCTAACCATGTGCTCACTTAACTTCAATTCTTGACTAATGTGCCACTATGTAATCAACGCCAATTAGACAACACATGCATTTTTGCAATAGGCTGTTATTTTTAGTCTGATGGCTAGAATTCTCAAAACTACTATCAAGTATTACTGCAAACTGCAGAAGACATGTGGAATAGCATCTGCATCAAGTTGGTCACATCAACCCCGCGCCAAAGCAATTGGGGATACATTGAATGAATGAGAAGGATGAGAGTTTGTTAAGATGTGCCAGAGAAGAGCAGAGGGCAGAGTACACAATTTCAGCTTTCTTTCTCATTCACACATTCTGCCAGTCAACAGTCTGAGACTCAAGCAATTGACAATAACAATCGAATTGGCATTAATAATGATTTAATTTTTTGATTTTACAACAAATGAACACATCCCCCTCCATATAAATCCTCTCTTTTCCCCCCAAACCACCAAAAGATGAAAAAGAATAGTAATGACAACAATGTATGCAGCAGCTGTTCTCTTCTCTTCTTTATACACTTGCCATTAATCAAACAGCTACTCTCAGTACTCTTTTCTGATCTCCTCCTCTATCCACCCTCTCATTTTAAAGAAGTAAACAACTTTTAATCACAGAGAAAGAAAAATAAATACACACACTCCACCCTATGTTCCCCACACTGAAAAAAACCCAGATTCTATATGCATTGCATTGATCTCTATTGGGAAGGCCTGAATAACTGGCTACCCAGAGTCACAGTTGGGGCAGCACCTTCCCCCATCCCCGTACTGACCTTCATCTCTTTCTCCAGGATCCGGTCAAGCTCCATCACCACGTAGCTCATTGCTGGCCGCCTCTCGCTTGACCCTTCCAGACAACGAATCGCCAAACCCATCAGCTCCTCCATTCCTTCCGACGTGAAGCTGTTCCCCAACCTCTCGTCAACCATTCGGCTGCTGATGCCTCCCTCGACACTGCTTTGTACCTTCATTAGAATTTCACAAAATAGACAGTCACATTCAACACAGTCCATATAACTTGATCATTGTTCATATGTAATGTCTTGGAGAATGGTTCATGGCTTACCCATTCTGCCATGTTCTGGTCTGATGCTTCCCTTCCACTGATCAACTCCACCACAAACACACCAAAACTGTACACATCACTCTTCTCCGAGAATTGCCTAAACTCCCTCACCCTGCATCCCCATACACAGAATGTAAACTATCAGTGTCTTTCTCAAAAGCTGATCAGCTTCGGAATTAGGGTGGATAAATTGTGGGGAAGTTTTGAATTTTGCTGAAATAACCCTACTCTGGAGCAAGATATATCTCGTCAACTGCCACTTGTGTTGAAGGGCCCGCTCCACCCTCACCTCCTCTTCCCAGGAAATTACGAAGCCCTGCATCTGCTACCTTGGCTATGAAATTCTCATCCACCAGCACATTTGTAGTCTTGAAGTTCTTATGCACTAATCGAGGTCTCAGAGCATGAAGATAAGCAAGACCTGGACAGCAAGAAATATCATAACATGAGGCGGTCTCTTACTCCAGCTCCTTTTACACTTATTGTATTAAGGTGAAGGACCTATCCGTCACTCTAAAGGCTCAACAGGCTTACAAGAAACAATCTTTGCAGTATGAATAATAAAATGCTTGCTCATACTCTTTCGAGGTACTTAAACCAGATGTAGATTATCTTAAAGTTGAAAAAGGAGCAACTAATACCAGGAAAGCCAAAATTGTCACTGATTTTGCAGAGGATCACCTTTAGCTGCCCCTATAGCTATTGCAAGTCTATGCTTGAATTCCAGCTGCCCATCTGATACTTGACCTAGCCCTGGCATCAAAATTTCAACCTTTTCCATGAGAAACGCAATTTTACAAAGGCTATAATAGCACATTAACTGCAGAATGTATTTAGCTTCTCAGCTGCCACATTGATCTCAAAGACATTAATATTGGCGACTGGATAGATAGTTACCATACAAGTGACTGGAAACGCTCCCATTAGGTACATATTCATAGACGAGGAACTGCATGTTGTTCTCTTGGCAATATCCAAACAGAGTCACGATATTCCGATGTTGGATGGCTGAAAGATACCGTGCCTGATAGATTTAATTCAGCATAATAGGATCAAGCAAAGAACAATGCAATTGATTCCACTTTATTGGAGAAGTTACATTACTGCTTAGTCAAAAATGGTATACTGGGAAACACAATTAAGAAGACACACCGCAGATACGCATCCCACAATCAGAAAGGAAACTACGTTCACATTATTTGGACTAATCCAAGTAGCTGCACTGCAAATGAGAATGATCAAATCAGTACCTCATCCACAAAATCTTGAGTAGGAGCTCCAAATCGGCTCTTCACAGCAACAAGCATCCCATTGTTGAGCAGGCCCTTGTATACCTCACCAAATTTGCCAACACCAATCAAGTTTTGGTGGCTGAAATTCTTGGTGGCCAGAGACAACTCTTCCATGTCAAACCTCTTTGCCTCTGGTACAGACAGCTCAACCCCAACATGTCTTCCCGCTGAAGACGGTGACCAACAATAAAAAATTACAAGAACATTAGAGAAAGAGGGGTAAAGCAAAAAGAAAATCACATCAGCAAAAACTTGGGGGTGATGGGGAAATTAGATACCTTGAACAGATTGGTCAGAAGATCCAGTCTCGGAGGTTCTGGAGACACTCTTGTTCTTGCAGCAGTAGCACCATATGCAAAATGTTATTACCCCAACCAATGCCACGGCTCCTGCAACACCACCTAGGGTGATTGCAAGAGTCTTTGACATATGGTACGGGAATCCAGTTTCCCACTACAGAATCCAAAATCAACTAACCAGCAACAAACATTGACTGAAGCTGCATTAAAAGAAGAGCAAAAAGGATTATTAGATAAGAGAGCAAAAGGGCAAGGCAGGATGAGAATTGGAAGTTAGAGCTGGAAAAAGGAATGCTAAGTGGATACATGGTATCTGGGAGAGAGGTTAAACTACAACACAGATGCATTGCCATATCCCATCTCCATCTTTGTCAGCAAACATGTAGAAGGACCAAAAGAATCAAGCTTTAAGAGATATAGATGAATTGAGGAAGGAACCTGAATAGGGAAGTAAGCAAGCAGAGCAAATGATGGGATGACGGATGGGTCGATCGATCTTCAATGAGAAAGTAAGTTTAGAGCTTGAGAAGGCGACAGCAGAAGCAGAAGAATTGAGTAATCAATTCAGCCGCATTTCCAAAATGCAATGCAGTTTGCAAATCAGAAAGGCCTGAAGAGACTTGCTGGAGAGAGGCTATCAGCTGAGTTGAGTTGAGGGGAAAAGAAGAATGAAAGCCAATGAATGTGAAACAAAAGCAAATAAATCAATCAAACCAACCCACACAAAAAAAGAAAGCGAAATGGGTGTGCGGTGCTGTGTGGGGTTTATCTGTTTAATGGGTGGGGTGAGGTGGTGGTGGGGGTCTTCCGTTCATTCTGCCTTGTTGTTATGCCACTGGAAGGAAGGAAGGAACTGTGGGCTGGAAAAGGAAGTCAGGCAGGGAAATGGTAAGTATATATAATTTCTTCCAGCTTGCAACAGTTTTGATTGCTTTGATAATGTTATTCCTTCACTCATTGAACTTAGATTGAATCAATCTCCAGAGACTGTCTTCAAGTGCTTAAAATACAGTAGAGTTGGTAAAGAATAGAGCGGCGGAGTAAATAAATAATGGGGGGAAAAGGGGAGAATCATGGTTGGGATACAGACAATACCGACAGATAGTGACAGAAAGGCCTGTAAGGCTGGCTGCCTGGCTGGCGCCGACAACCACAAGTCCACAACCAACCTTTGAGAGAACCCATTAACCTAAACAAAGAATTGACAGGGAAGAGTACCAGTAGGGATGAAAGAGCCCCCAAAATCCAGGTCCAGCTGCAGAATCTCGGCAGCAAATTTGTTCGCCGGCAAACCTTCCTGCCATCCAAATGCATGTTTGCTCCCCCAGCCTGAACTGCGAAGTCAGTAGCAGACAACATTCGCTGATAGCGCTTTCGATTCTGAGCCTATCGGGGAGATGAAGCCGAAATCGTAAGTGACTTCTGCTCTGCCATGGTTTTTCATATCGGCGGTTGTTCGGAAGCGGCAATCGGAACAGCTGTACTCGCGGGTTCCCGGGAAAATAAAAGATTAGAAAAGTTGAGCAAAAGGACGATAGGAGAAAGTGGGGAAAGAGTTGGTGAAGAACGGTTGGCACAAACGACAAAATAATGAAACGGTAAATTGGGTAACAAAAAGAGAACTGGGAGTTGTTCGGAAGTTATGCAGTGAAATTTGATGCGTTGTAAAATAAAGTGTTTAGTTTGTGTGATTGTGTCTTACATCGATTAAAATTAAGGCAATAATATCAATAAAATTATCTCAGCAATTATTGTTAAAAGTTGAGATATAACAATTACTCGCTTTTAGTGATAGTTTCTATCACATCACAGAAACAATTCAAGTATTGTTTCTCCTAAAAAAATATTTAAAAAAATATGCATTCTAAACAATACATGTATTGTAACAATTTCACCAAACACAATCACAACTTCCAAACGACCCCCAAGTTGTTTAATTTACCAAAAAAATCGGAGATACCAAGTCTCTTAGATTGTAATAATTAACAATGTGAGAACGCATAGAAAGTTGTAATGAAAAAAATTAATGATAAATTATTTATATTAAATTTATGGTTGAATCGTAATTCAACTGTCTCATACCATTAAAATCGCCTAGTGTGGATCTAGTATCCAATATTTCTAGTTCGATCGATACGATAGAGTTTCTAAAAAATTGGTAAAATTATGTCATATTAAAATCAGTCAACTGTTCGCTCATATGGTAGAGCGTTTGGTATAGGGTGTTTTGTTTAGGGATGGCAATAGAAACCGAATCCGGGATTCAGCCATCAACAAGGAAAGTGCATTGTCGATAATCTCAAGCACATTTTCCATAATTTCACGCTGGATTTAGTAGATGTACGGTAGCCTAGGTTAAATCATACATATACATTGCATAAGCTCATCCAACTCAAGAACAAAAGGACGTTCTAGATAGCAAGTTGCTTAAATTGCGAACACATGCAGAACTATAACATAGGTCGACCGTTGCAAAACTAAAACTTTGAAGCAAAGACCATGCTCAAGTACACCGACATCGTCAGCTGCAAGTTGAATGGCTGGTAGACCTATTTCAATGCCACATATCTTTACAATTTAAGCTATGTCCCTTTTTTGTCACCGAACTCGGTTGAGTTTCTGAACTTTGCAACATGCTGTCATTTTCGTCAGCTGCAACACGGGGTAGCCATTTCCTTAATCAAACAACTCCATACTCATTTGAGGGCTTGAATTCTCGGTAGCAAGGGTGAAAGCTGCATAGCTTACAAATCTGAACTCATCTCATCACTGTGTGCACTTTTACTAGAGGACCCGAAATCCAAACTCGAAAACTACCTGTACAACGAAAGGGCATGGACAAAAACTTTTATTACTGCAAACTGCAGAAGACATGTGGAGTAGCATCTGCATCAAGTTCTTCACATCATCCCTCGACTCTTCCTTATTTCAGTGGACGAAATATCCATGCGGAACATCTCAGCTGGTATCGGCACAAACATGTCCTTCAACTCCTCCGGTATCTCCAAGTCCTCGAGAACCTTCGTAGTAAACAAAGAAAACAATCTTTATACGATAACAGCAAAAATCAATTGGTCTAACTCATCCCCCGCGAGAGGTCTCAACTTCAGGCAGAAGCTGCAAGTTAGTTAGTCGGTGTACCTTGAAAACACCATCGGTGCTTCGACCACCCACAAGAAAAGTGCATCCTCTTGCTTTGCATGCTCCAAGGATCTCAAGCATCTTTTCATAGCTTCCATCGTAATACTTGGGCTGCAAAAAAGAAAACACCGCAGCAAGGCCGAGAGTAGATCAATCAAAGTTTTATCAGATGACTTTCTGTGTTGTACAACCTAACAAACCCTAGCAGTATTAGATCAAGCGAAAATTGCAGTAGAATCTCCAAAACAAGCTGGAATCGAGTAACATACGTTTATCAACCTTGCTGCTGTATCGGCACCAATGACGAAAGCACTGCCAGGGAAGAGCTCAGCCTTCTTATAAAAATAGGGCTGGTTAGAAATGATTACAGTTTTGCCTGTCATAAAAAAAACTACAACTCAGACACAGGTCATCTTAGTACCAAAATGAAAAAGGGCTCGTCAGATTCTGTGCAAACTCAGAAGGGGACATATCATCATAGTGTAAAGAAAGTTCAAATGGCTCACCAACTCTTTCAAACTGCTTCACCCGATCTTTGATTTGGGAAACAGTAAGGGGAGGTTTGTCTGCATTTATCGCTGATATTTCAAAGCACGGATAGCCATTGCCACAAAGGCTACACAAAACAAGTATTAAGAAGTAGAAAGACATGGTATTTGCTCTAATAAGCATCGGCAGAACATAAACGTCCAAGAACTAATAAATGCCACTTCAAGATGTTCAAAATACAATTTTTTTAATACATTATGGAAGCATATCCAGCTACCTAGTAGCGACCTCCAGAAGCTTGAGGTGACCATCATGCAAAGGGTTAAAAGAACCAGGAAGTATGATCTTCCTCTCAGCATTTGGCGGAGCTGAAAACGATCATCAGAAAAATAATTAGGAAGCTCAAATTACCACGATGAGTCTGTTGAACCTAAGGATTCCACCTGAGAATGGGTATATCTTGAAGCATATTTGACCGTCTATAACTTGCTGTAGCTCTTCATCTTCTGTGAACTGTTTTTCAAGTTCATTCAATGAGTCTGATTCAGATAAGGGAGAACCGGTTGTCTGCTGGACAACTCTGCATGCTTTTGATAAGGCCTAATTGTTAAGAGACAGGAAAGAAATTGAATCAGGGACTGCTGAAAAATGTAAGCCACATGGAGACATATATCCTAGGAAATCTAAACTTTGTTGCAACGTTTTCAAATTCTTGTGTACCTTCAGTAAGAATTGACTTGAAACTGTATCTTCCTGCTCTCGAGTTCGTATTCCCTAGATTAAAACCACATTGCACACCAGAATCCATTAATCATGCAACGACGAATCACATCATTATCTGAAGAGTACCACAACTACCTTTGACAATGTAACTGTTGACGCGTAAAGTTGGTTAGATGTTCTTGTAGATAAATGAAACCTGAAAAGAAGCCGTCGAGCTGCATTCATCAAAACCAGATACATGTAATAGAGATCCAAGCAATGCTTGCAGAAAATAATACCTGTGATTCCCAAGTTTTGGACGTGAACTTGCTAGAGATCCAGTGAATCCCACACCAACAACAGGAGCACCTATTGAAAGGAACAATTGGGTTAACATAAAAAACACCTCCCTACTCCAGAGTCCAGATATGTAAAACCTTTCTGATCTAGTATTGTAGCAGCAGCTTAGCATTTAGTTTAATATAGTGAACAATGTTGGTGAAGAAGAATCATTACCAGGGGAAGAGAGCTTAAGAGCCCGGTTGTAAGCCAACAAAGCCATCTCCTCGGCTGTTTGCTGGCTACAGTAACTTGCAGGAATCTGAAAGAAGAAAAACATCACATGGTTTTGGCTTTAGAAATCTGAAACCCAGAATAAAAGGAAGGAAAAAGACCTCATAGATACTGTGCTCCGGAGTAAAAGAAAAACCTTTCCGAGCAAATCAACCATGGAGACTCTCGAGTATGGCACCAGAGCTTCAAGAACTGTAGAGGTAGCGCCGGGGACGGACATCAACAACCCGAGACTCTGATCATCATCATCATCCGAAGTCAAAATTTAACCAGGCATGAAGAGAGAGAAAGCGATAAGTTTTAGTAAGGGGAGAAGAGACCTGAGACGCGCCGCCGGAGAGATAAATTACGGCCTGAGAAGGGGTGGAGTGGATGGCTTCAACGACTGCTCGAATCCAAGCTTCCGTCATTTTCATCTACCTTTCCCTCCTTCCTTCATTCCAGTTTTCCTTTTGTCCTCTCTTCCTTCTCTTAAAAGTTTTAGTTTTTTACAAACTTTTGTACCAAACGTGGCCCTATAATTATCAAACTATAGCACTGTTCCGTAATAACTATATTGGCACTTGGCATTGACCAACAGCAGTGGCCCATTTTCTCCACACACAAAGAAGAGAGCAGGGGATTCCCGGCGCAAAACCACTTGGGTGATGGGAGACGGAAGAATTCGTTGGCCGGCGGCCACTGAGCTTTGTGCTGTCCGGCGGGGAGATGGGGAAGAAGCAGCCCTTGGATTGGACAGCCAAATCAATTTCCTCCACTGGCTCCGAGAGAGTCTCCCTCTTATCTAAGCAGGTTTGCAGCTTGCTTTCTTTCTAGGCTATGGTTAACGAAATTGAACGATTAAACCGGTGATTATGACGTTGGTTCCAATATCACCAATCAGTGAGATGAGCTGACTCACATTCCAAGTATGAGTACATGTCACTTCTGCTATACTGCAAATTGTTCTCAATATGTCACTATAAGAGGATTTGTGTTGGGAATCAGATGGCCGGCGACGAACAAAAGGGATCAATAGAGAGTAGAGACGTTAAATGATGGACAGGTGATACATACAATACAAATGATCCAACGAAGTCCTGAAATTGTTACTTCTCAAACAGAGCAGCAACGACTACAGCATCAAAAATTTGCTCTAACACTTTCAGTATATGATGGCCGAATTGAAAATCTTAAGCTCTCGTTACTAACCATGTCTAAATAAAACAAGATCCAACATCTCAAAACCCCAAGTTTTCTACCGAATTGCCACGCCTTGCGCTGCCTGTTGCACTCCATCTTCAACTATCTTGTTAGCTTGGATGGTATTTATCACACTCGCAATATTTTCCTGCAAAAATTGCACATGTAATTTGATAAGCCACTAGCACTTGACAGAGTGACGACTAGCAAAACTTCAAGAAGAAAGACTAGGAAATGTAAGACAAAAGCATTTTTTGAAACTAGAAGGGGAACTATTACCCTCCAAGTTGCAAGCTTCTCCCTAAGTTCTTGCCACTGGTGCTGCCCAAAGACGCGCTCACTGCAGCGGCTGCATATGTACCGAAAGAGTTGAAGACTGACAGGCAATAGTGAAACTGTGCATATAACATAAAAATTAAAGATAGATACCTCACGAGCACCACTTGGTTCATCTGATCCATTTTACAGTCAATCAACTTGGCAGTTATCGCCTTTACTACCCATAATTCTACCTCATCATCAGTAACCTAGAATGACATGAAGCAGAATAATTAGAAAAATAGGTCAAGCATAAAACTTGGTCGAGGACAATGTCATAGGTTAATTCAGATATACCTGAAGTGTATCCTTGATAAGAGCATATGGGATTTGCCTAGACGGGGTAGAGGCAAGATCCACTAATGACATCAACTTCATCTTTGCTATACAATCCTCGTGAACAAGGTCTGAGCACACAAAGAAGCAGAAGTTAGAGCCGAGTTTACTTCCCAAATATCGAAGTTTGGGTTCAATTTGTTTGACTGGAGTGAATTAAAAATCTTACTGTAGGTTTCTAGCAAGCTAGAATTCGCAGCTTGGAACTCCAAATAGGAATCAAGCCTCTGAGTCAAAAATATCTTCAATAGTTGATATACCAATGCATATGTGGCATCACTTTCCAACTGCACAACAGCTGGCATATCTAACAGCTCACACTGCAACCACCCATGAAGAAGCATTATCGACATTAAATCACAAGCATTATCGACATTAAATCACACCAGAAATTATTCTCTAAACTCAAGTGATTCAGAGAAACATACAAATAGTCAACCCATTAAACAGCATGACCATCCCAATCTACCTGAAACATGTCAGGTGCCTTCACAAATTCAATAATGGCACGGACGGCTTCCTCCTTGGCTTCAGCAATCACAAGTGCATCCTCACCGGAGAAAGTTGTCAAATAATTTGTCAGGAATTTGAAGCCATCCTTAGTTGAGCTGCAACAAAGGATGAAGCATGGCCAGAAGTGAACTAAATCATCACACTTCTCCAGATGGTTAAGTGACAGATATCAAACAGTAATACTGTACCTTTTACTGTCTTTGAGCGCATTAGAGATGGCAAGATAGAGCTCTCTCCTATCCTTGACATCAAGATTCCATTCTTTCAAGAAACCATCTATCTTCTTGAGTGATGGTATTATGTGATCAGCGACCTTCCCATTCAATGCTAAAGTCAAGGCCTTCATATAGACAGAGAACCGTGCATATGGATCCTCCAGAAGATTGTACAAATTGAACAAGCTGAAAAGGAGTCATTCATGAGATACTAACAAGAAAAAGTATGTGCTATCAAATCAACATGACACCTTGACATTACATCTTTAAGCGCAGTGCAGGCTTCTCAGTTGGCTGTTGGACAATCTTTGCTGATATCAGCTTAGCCATCTCAAGAGCTTCACTCGGGTTTTGAGACTTCGTGACAAGGTTGCAAATAACAGTGAAGATGCATTCAAGGTCTGGAACAGAGACGACGGAAACATACACTTCGTCATTAAAATAAGCATATGGGGCAGCTATTGCTAAGTATTCTGATATAAACGATTGCTTCTTTTTTACAAAATCATCACTAAGATCCTTTCAGTTTGAACCAACACACTTGCACGCCATCTATTATGACTGCTACCTAATATAAACCACAAAATCACGCAACCATTTGACTTTTAACGGTGCCCAGAGAGGTCAGAGATGATAGGGCAGGAAAAACAAGAAGCGCTAGTTAAGTCTAGTGACCGCAGAACTCCCCACCTCATGGATACGACTCCCGAGCAACTAACAAAGGATTCGTAGTTGCACTAACTCATCAGCACAACAATACAAGCAGAATATTGGCAGGCTTAAACTTCAGTACTCTGCTAGCAGAATATTGCACTACGCTATCAACAGAACAATTCAAGGAGAATTCACAGATATCATCGTCAAGCATACAAAGTTCACATATCATGAACAGTAAGTTCATCCACACACACTAGACCAGGCGTCTACTAATTAACCTCCTTTAGTGCCATCCCAAAAATTGCAAAGTCGAATTACAACTGATGTAGATTTTGATAACACTACATAAAAGAAGAAAGTTGCACCTTTCTCTGACACCTTGGCATTGGAGAATAACAAGTCAGCTGAAGCTAGCATCAAGGATGCCAAGTCCAACCATCTTCCTACCACCATGCATTCCTGTGCCTCCATACAAAGCCTGGTAACTTGTGGTTCCGCAACCTATAATGAAAGGTATAATTGATCAAGCAACTCCCTTTCTTCACTGAAAAATAGAGCTAATAGTATCCAATAGAAAAACTGTACAGGACGTTACGATGGATTACTCCCCCTTCAAATTTTTGCAGGTTTCTAACATTACCTAAGAATGGATGAAATTCACGAAACAAAGCAGGATTTATAGTTCACGGCATAAGCCAGCAACCGAACATCTCAGCCGGCATAGGCAACATTGTACACTACTAAGAACATCAGAGAGTCGAAATTACGATTGGATTGTGGATTCGGGAGTGCAGACACCAGCCAATCAAATTTCCCCAACGAAGAATCGAAGGACGCCCATGGATACAAGCTAGAATAAAAAGCGTTTGCGATTACGCATGTATATACAAATAGCTGTATAGATGTGAATGTACCTCGGGACCAGCATCGGCCCAGGCAAGGTCGGAGGTGAAGCGGACAACCGCTAGTGCAGGATCTTCTTCAGAGGTTGGGACGATGGTCGCCATTGCTGAGGAGGGGAATATATGCAATGCCGACACCGTAGACGTTTGTGCGGGCGATGCAGAGAACGGGGAAGAGGGAAAGCGAAGAGCGGAGATGAACCAAAAACCCTAGCTAGTATCAGTAAGCTGACGCAGAAGCTGCGGCCTGCGGCAACCAATAAGGACTGAGGGCAGTTACGTCTTTGACCCCAGCCACGCTAAGCCCTTTTGTACAAACTACAAAGTGTCAAAATTACAAATGAATATTTCGGCCAACGGCGTCGTATAAGTGAATACTTTTTTTTCTAATGTATCGTTTTTTTTTTGTTTGGCATGTCCGGGCTGATGATGATAGTATTGTGTATTTGTGTTAGTTGAATACAAATACATACTTTTATTTGTTACATATAATTTGGAGACTCATGTCAAATATTTGGATCGTCGATTTTTCATGTGGTATTATCTAGTTATTTTTATGAAATACAGTATTTTGAATAATCGTGTTGTGCTAATACAATAATAATAAATTCTTAACTTTTGAATGTTGGATACTTAGTGTCATATGAACACCTCATTTTTTTTCTATGGACATTTGAAACTAGAATGAACCAATAATAAGTATGTTAGTGTGTGATAAATCATGACATGCATTCAATTTTGATACCTGACGCAAAGAGATCCACACATTACGAAATAATTAATCAAAGTTGTTGATTTCTTAATATCATCATAGGAGCGAGAGTGAATGATGTACAACTGGATAAAATATATAATATATAACCTTAGAATTCATTACTTGGCGCGATGAATGATAACCCTTAGAGCCGTTTTGGGGAGATGTCATACAAAAGTGCACTAAATGATCAATGATCGAGCAAATTCATTTCCTAACTAAGTAGATCATCATGTAAAAAATAAGGGTGTGCCTACGGTGACATGCATGTCACGGTGACTTGCACTTTCCGGTCGACCTCAGTTAGGATTAGGTCGACCTCACATAGAATTCGGTCGACCTCATATAGGATCCGGTCGACCTCATTTAGGATTCGGTCGACCTCATATAGGATCCGGTCGACCTAATATGTTGTTTCAGTGTAAAAACAGTTCATGGTGCCTACTTTGGATATTCATATCATACAATTGGCTAGATGGAAATTGAAGACTAAGGACTTGTTTTGAAGCTGGAGTGTCCCTCTACATATTGAAGTGATTGAGAGCTCGATAGGAAGTCCAGAAGACCATTTTTGAACCTCATCAAAAGGCTATGCCAAAACTGGGAAACTGCCTAGAAATGGCTAAGTCTGAAAACGTGTTTGTGAAGCCTATTTTTGAGCTCAATTCGAGAAGCATGAATGCGAGTCGAGTCCAGGAGCCTCTACCACGTTAAATTAGGTATGTTTTTATACAAATTCAAGGAATTGGATGAAAGATTGGATATCTTTAAGGCTTCAAACAAAAGGGTCGAAGTTGTTACGAAGGCTGTTTTTCTGGCAGACTTCGAGCACAAGCAAGCTGCCAGAAAAACAGCCTTCGTAGCAACTTCGAGCCTTTTGTTTGAAGCCTTAAAGATATTCAATCTTTCATTCAATGCCTTGCCTTTGTATAAAAAAATACGTAATTTAACGTGGTAAAGGCCCCTGGACTTGACTCGCATCCATGCTTGTCAAATTGAGCTCCAAAGTAGGCTTGACAAACACGTTGCCAGACTTAGCCATTTTCAGGCAGTTTCCCAGTTTTGGCATAGCCTTTTGGTCAGGTTCAAAAATGGTCTTCTAGACTTTCTATTGAGCTCCCAAGTACTTTAATGTGTAGAGGGACACTTCAGCTTCAAAACAAGCCTTTAATCTCCAATTTCCATCTAGCCAATTGTAAGATATGAATCTCCAAAGTAGGCACCATGAAACTGTTTGTACACTGAAACAACTGATTAGGTCGACCTGATCCTATATGAGGTCGACCGGAAAGTGCATGTCACCGTGACATGCATGTCACCGTAGCAAAGTCCAAAAAATAAATATAATGGAAAAACATAAATGAATGAGATAGAATGCAAAATCAATGTTGGGCATTACTGCATTAACAATTGTTTTTCCGTCATTTGCCATTAAATTTTGTATTTTAGATCAACTTATTGGTGACAAAGTATACAATCAAAATACAATAAGCACATCCACCAAATCATTTTGTTTGGACAAGAATTCATCATTTTTTGTTAGGATCGCCGAATAGATAGCCTAACGAGGACCCTCCTCCTGGAGCTGCATGAACCTTGGTCGTCGGTCGGTCCTATATCACGAACAAGTCAACACCCCAAACAAACGTTAAAAACAATAATATGGAAATCAAAGAGGTGAATCGATCAACATTTTGTAATATCGTTTGCGTACCGTAATGAAGTTACCACAATTCTGGCCTTCAGACCTATAGTAGTTGTTTTTCAGGTGACCGGGTTGGGCCGAAGGTGCTTCTTCGACGTCCCACTTGATTGGGCTGCTACTGAATTCTTTCCGACGAGCCACTGGGCTTCTTGCAGTTTCCTCCTTTTTGGTAGTAGGTGGTGGTGGTGAGGGACTGTTGGAGCTAGAGGAAGGGTTGTTGCTTCGTGCTTCCTCAGACTTTGGACTAGGTTGGGCCGAAGGTGCTTCTTGGACCTCCCACTTGATTGGGCTGCTACTGTTTTCTTTCCGACGAGCCATTGGGGAACTATTGGAGCTAGAGGAAGAGTTGTTGCTCCGGCCAGCTCCCTCGGACTCGGAACCAAACAAGTATCCCAAAGAACTCCGACCGCCGCCATAGCTCACTCCACGGCCCATGTTTTTTTTCCTTCTGATCAATTTTGTGTTATGGAAGTAGTCACATTGTGATTATATATGTAAACTGCATGCTTGGCATAATTAAAGTAATCGCTTGTGTAATCAATCATCAAGTTCAAGCCTAATAGCTGTCTTATATGTGGTTTAGCAGCTTAAACGTAATCACCCCGGATTAACATAATAAATGTTTTTTTTTTCTTAAATTACATCATGATGTAGAACATACTAGAATTTCAATGTTACGATCCCACCAAATCAAAATTTAATGTGTGCTGCTAGGTTACAATTCACATGTTAATATTGTTTCCGGATATATATGCTTGTTTATAAAACATCAATATATTTATTTTCTTATCCTTTATATTTCCCATATATACTTTCCCTTTGCATGCCAATTAAGTTGAATTCTACATTCTCTAAAAATATAGATATCTCTCTCGAATTTTGATTAACGTCAAGCAAAAATATTAAAGCACAACTTCTTGCAACAATAAATTATGAGCTCCTTTTGGAAAACAAGAGCCATGAGAAATGACGTTCATGTGTTCACAGGAAAAAGAAAATATTATTATGAGATGCAATCAAATATAGAGGAACACCGTTTTTATGTAAAAAAATGTGAAAAACACATAAAATTAATTTCAAAGAACATAAGATTTCAAATGTTTTTATCGTTGATTATTGACATAAATAAATTACTGTTTTAAACAATTGTTAGCACATGTACCTTTTTTCCTTTTGTTGGGTTTCCAGTATTCCCCCAAGAATGGGAGAAAAGATGAGGAAAGGGCAAAAAGCTAGCCTTCTTGGATTTACTAGTTTATACAAAGCAATTTGCACTAATTGAGCATTGGCAACAAATAGCCAGCCAATTAAGTCTCCATTCTAATTAAGATTTGAACAAGTCAAAGAGATTGAATGGTTGGCTGACCTTTAAAGTTGAAGTACAATTGATAATTTGTTATGGGTAACTTCATATTTTTATATGATAATTAAATTAAAATATATTAAAATATTCGTAGTCTAACATATAATATTATTTGTTCTATTTTATATTCATATATTTCTAATGCTTCTTTGTTCGACGTTCGTCATCTATTACTTATCTATGATGAATATCTCTCTTCCCAAAACTCAAGCTCGAATATTGCTTCTAGAGACCGGCTTTTGGAGCTACTGCCTCTAGCCATTGTATGCTTTTTACACATATCAGCATTGTTTGGGAACAATATTTTGTAAGTTGCTCAAATACTTCCCAACAAGGGGATGCAATTGCAAACATCTGAATCTACTAGTAGTTAGGATTTCTAGAGCAAGAAAGACAGAGGCTAGTACATTTTATTTTATTTTATATAAGGGTGATATAAATTTTCTTTTTTTGTGATTAAAGTACTACTTAAGGGATTCGAATTTGGGACCTCCAGTATCTAGGCCAATGATATTACCACTAGGCCAAGTCTTTGTTCGTCAGAGGCTAGTACATTATTATTATGACTTTGTTGCAACTCTTTACTTCTATATATATCTAGTGCCAATCAACAATTTGACACAAAATTTCTTTTGAGTCATTGAAATCCCACTATCATTTCTAGATACTTGTGATCCTTGGAAACATTGCAATGCACCCAAGGGTCTTGCAAAGACCATCCTGAAATCTCACTTCAAGTAAACTTAACTACTTCCAAATCCAGAATCTGACCTAGCCAATATGATGTTATCCGCATAAACTAATAAGATTACTATCCTACATCGTACCCATGCGATAAACATTTGTGTAATCAGAGGTGGAGTTTGAGAAGGCATTCAATAGGATTGAGCTAGCTAACTTAGGAAACCACTATCCACTAGAGACTAGTCTACTTAAGCATGTAAAGGGACTTTCTTAACATGCAAGCTAAGTCATATGTATTGGCTTCGATATGAAAATTTTGTGTAACTTGCGTTTAAAATTTCCTTCCTTAGGTCGCCAAGCAAAGGTTGTATTGGAGATATCCAACTGATATAGTCCATGTTCAACAACTAATTCGGTTATAATGGTTTTAACCGAAATAATCTTTGCGTAGGACGGTAGGGAAAAAGATATCCAGGTAATCTATCCCATACACTTTGAATAATGTCCATGTCTTTACCTATAAACTATAATCCTTTTATCCCACCAACTATTATAAGGGCTTTGCATGAACAAAATCATCCCCTTGGGCATAGTAAGAAGGGAAACCCTTTTGTAACTGCAAAGTCCCGTGAACAATAACAAATGAAGAACAACCAAAGAAACTGGAGACGGGAAAAAAGAAAAGAATAGAAAGGGAGGCGTATGGATGGGAGAAGAAACATGGGGGCACCATCAACAACTATACATAATGATATGCACATGAGTAACGATGCCCATGGACCCTTTTCTCTAATTTCTTTCAAGCTTTATTCATCTTCGAAATCTCTACCAATATCTTGTGCAAAGCTTGAGGCTTTGAGAAGAAAGGTGAATGATCAGCACCTTTCAACCGGAACACCTTCTCCGGCAGACTCGAGCTGATCATGGTTTGTTGTAAGGTGATAGGTATGGCATTGTCTTCTGGAGCTTCGATATAGAACCGTCGCACAGTCCCATGCTTAGCATCGGAGAGACAGAGTTTCTCCAGAACTGGAGCAAATGGGATCAGCCTCATTGACACGGAGGCTAATGCTATGTCCTGAATAGTAGGTGAAAACGATAGTGTCTCAAAACAATAGCATAGTAACAAAAAAGAAAGAATGGGATAGTAACTAACTTCACTTGTTTCGAAGGGTTTGATGTACCTTGGCAGGACTGTGGTTGAATAACAAGTCCCGAAGCAACGACTTGTCAAGATCAATGGCAGAAGGAGGATGATCATTTCCATTTGCATATACAAATATCTGTGCTTTTTGCATCAGATCATTTCCACCTGACTGCAAAAGCTCCCTTTTATTAGTCACAGAGCAGGATAAGCCTAAATAGCATAGCTGAACTTGAACTTGCATAGACATAGCTTGATGCCTCTAGAAGCAGAGTTTCCTAGATGGCATTGCATAAAACATAGCAAAGAAGGGTTTTGAAAGTTCAAACATCGCATACTATCACTGCTATTCTTTTTCTTTCTGTTCAAGTTACAAATGTTCAAACAAGTTCATCACCCCCTATTCTAAACTCCATAATGTAACTCAGTGATTACCTGCTTGGAGAACATGTCAAGCATACTTTGTCCATCAACTAACATAGCTGCAGCTAGGAAAATAGCCTTTGAAATTTTGTGTGGAAACAACTCCATTGCATACGAGATGCAAGCACCGCCAAAATCGTGCCCTACCAAGATCACCTGCATAGTTCAGAAAGAATAGCATTATACCTAGGCTATCATCTTACTCAGGTCAAAGATGTATCAAGTAAAATAAATGAAGATATCAAGATATTAAACCAGGAAAACAACTTTAATGGATAACCACACTGACTCAGACAGTTCATTTGAATTGAGAGAAAAATATATAACAGCAGTTGGCTTAATACAGATGAAGACCATATATTTGACATCTCAAGACATAATAAGAAGACAGTAGCAGGAGAAGATACATAACCAGTGAGAAAGAAAGAACAAGCACGAACCTTCTCCTCATCAGCAAGCTTTTCAAGAAAATCAGTAAGTGGCTTCACATACTGAGAGAGACTGGCGATGCCATTAGTATCAAAAGAATGAACCCCAGAACCAGTCAAGTCTACAGCTGTAACTGTGAAACCACTCTCTTCCAGAAGAGCTATGGTTTTGTACCAACACCAAGCACCAAAACCCCCGCCATGTACAAGGACAAAATGTTTTGTCTCAAGATCATCAAGCTTAATATCCTGTTCAAAAAATTTCAACATTTCAGCAGGTGCGCGAGGTATGAAAATTGAAAGATGCTGACATACTCTATAGCACTAAACACCAACTACCCATGAAACTTTAATGAGCCACAAAAATTAGTTTCCCAGGGGACAAAATAAAATAAAGTCATGGTGATCAGGTATTGAGCTGTAAACTGAGTTTCTTGGTTGCCCTTCCCTCACAAGACTTGTGAGGCTTATCTAACTTTCTAGTTGAATGCAAGGCGTACTAAAGACTGTTGCAGTTGTACATTGATTGATGCCACAGAAATATAACAAAATATGATGGATCAATAGCTTTTTCCAGAATCATGGTAGCTATCTGAATTCTGTCATAGGTGAAAAAAAGGAGCAAACTTTTATGAGATCTTGATCTGTAATAAACAGCTGCAGAAGCTAGGAGAAGGTAGGCAAATACCAACAATTTCTAGTCCTTGTACTATATGCTTTTAGAACTTATGCACCTCACCCCAAAAACAAGTTCAATCATCAATTTATCAGTAATTGACAACAATACAGATGACCAGAGTAGCCATGTTCATCCATTAACTACTTAGCAGAGGGCAATGAACAACAAAACTTCCTCCAGTTCATTTAATTCATCAATTCTAGTCCCAAGTTCTTTCACATTCAATAGCAAGTTCAGCTGAACCCCACAAACCGAAGAAACAGGGCAGGATGGAATTCAATACGCATCCGCCGATTAAACACATCATACAGAGCTCCATAATAAAACCCACATCCAACCGTGGTCCAGCACACCGAACTCTGAGCAATAACATGGTCAACGAAGCGAAAGGCGACAAAACAACTGCCGATGTCTTCTGCCACCTTCCTCCGAACACAGAAATTCCTCCCACAAAGAAAGTAAATTAAATTACCTGGTTAACCAATTGGTGCGGCTGCAACAAAGGGTCCGCAAGTGACCGAGCTCTCGAGCTGGCGCTTCGGGGCAACGGGTTCTTCTTCGACCCGGCATTACCATTCGGGTACCTGTGCGAAACAGAACGGTCAAACGGCGTCGGCGTCGTCGCCCCGGCACCGTTCTGCTGCCTGAACATCAGAGCTGCCGCCAGAGCCTGCTCCTGGATTAAGGAATCATTACTGTCTTTTCTAGCGGATCGGACCCTCGTCCACCGGTTGGAAGCGGTTTGGGATGAAGAATTGGCCGGGAGACGCTTAACGGATCGTCCCCTTTTCACCGCCGGCTTGGGGGCGAAGCAAGTGCACAAGTTCCCCATTTCTCACGGCGACATAAAGTTGAAGAATTTGGCAATTGGTGAAGGTTTTGGGGCGGCGGCGGGGAAATGGCGGTAGCGGGTGGGAGTTTCGGAGAAATGTGGACCTTTCCTTCTCTGACTATATAATAGTCTGTGAGAGTATCGTGTGAAATTGGCGACGAAGGGAAGGGAAGGAAAGAAGACGTTGCTATGCTGCTGGAAAGCTACTTTTTTTAGAGACGAAAAAAGAAACGGCTTCAGGCGAATATATTTGACTCGGTGACTCGCTCTGGGTTGATGGCTTGAAGGAGAAGGTCCCAAGGGAATCAAACGATTAATTATATGATTTAATTTTTGGTTTATTATTTGATTATTACAAGCATTTTCAAACAAAGGATGCCTAGTATTTAGTAAAGATCCATTATGAGGACCAGTCGTCGTTGGTCTTGATGACTTTGTTTTATATTTTTTGGGCTGACTTTGATAATTTTGTTTATCATTTTGAGTTTGATTAGTGGTAAGTGATATAATGAAAGATATTTTATAATTAATCTTTTTAACGTTAATCTTAAAAGTTGAATCATCGTGAAACCTAAATTTATGAGAATTTCACTTGATCTAGAGTTTGTTCAGGAAGAAAGGTTTACGCAGACATTTATATAGTTCTACATATAAATTCGACGATGAGATGCTTCAGACTTCGGTTGGTTCAACATGTCGATCATTCATACTTAG